CAGCCCCAATCCCCAAAATTGATTTCACCACTTTCTCAACGTGATTCAGATCCTCCGATACTTGGTTCTCTCCCGTACGTGTACCTTCAAGTTCCTCCATCGGCGTCGTAACGACGACGATGACGAGATTCCGATGAAAAAAGTCGCCAAAATAATCGCCCTCAAAATCGCCTTTTTTGTCGTTTAGTACGTGTTTCTGTCCTTTTTAATCACTCGGTTTTATCGTCTTCTTCCAGCTTTCTCCCTTGCAAGGGTTTAGGGTTTTACAGTGAAATGACTCAGAAGTCATAGCTTGTGAATGCGTAGTTCCATCGCCACTTGGTTCGCGTCGATAACCAAAAGGTTCCTTCTTTACAGACACAGATCCTTCTCCAACCACCGACAAACTCTAAGAACCAATCTCCAAAACCTCAACTTCAACGAAGCTCTCTCTCTATTCACACACATGTCTCACTCTCACCCCCTCCCTTCCTTAGGCGAATTCACCAGACTCCTCACCGCTATCGCCAACATTCACGACGACGAAGAGGGGAGAAAATACGACGTCGTTGTCTCTCTCTTCGACCAAATGCGAAACCTTTTTGGAGTCTCCTCCTCACCTCTTCTCTACACTTGCAACATAGTAATCAACTGTCTATCCCAATCCTCACGGCATCCTTACTCTTCTTTCACCTTTCTTGGGAAGATGTTGAAGCTTGGGTTGGAGCCTGATGTCTTCACGTTTACTTCTCTGATTAATGGGTTTTGTTGTAAGGATAGAGTTGATGATGCTTTGGGTTTGTTTGTTAAGGTTGTTGAGATGGGTTTTAGACCTAATGTTGTGACCTACACTGGTTTGATTCATTGTCTTTGTAAGAACAGAGATGTTGATCACGCGGTGGAGCTTTTTAAGCGGATGGAGAGTGATGGGGTTAGAGCTAATGTTGTTACTTACAACTCTTTAGTGAGTGGTTTTTGTGATTGTGGTAGATTGGGTGATGCAGCTCTGCTTCTAAGGGATATGAGAGTTAAACCGAATGTGATCACTGTCACTGCTTTGATCGATGGGTTTGTGAAAGCTGGGAAGGTTTTTGAAGCTGTGGAGTTGTATAATGTGATGAGGAAGATGTCTGTAGAGCCTAATGTGTTTACTTACAACTCTTTGATCAATGGGTTTTGCATGTGTGGTCGTTTAGATGAGGCTCTGAGAATGTTTTACTTGATGGAGATAAAGGGATGTGTTCCGAATATAGTGACTTATACTACTCTCATACATGGATTCTGCAAGTCCAAGAGGGTAGAGGACGGTGTGAGACTCTTTAACGAGATGTCTCGGAGAGGATTAGCTGCTAACACAGTCACTTACACGGTCTTTATCCAGGGTTATTGTCTAGTGGGCAGACCTGATGTTGGAGAACAAATGTTCAAGCATATGGTTTCTTCTCACAGTGCGTGTCCTGATGTCAGGACCTACAACGTTCTGCTTGACGGTCTGTGTTGTAACGGGAAGGTAGAGAAGGCATTGATGATATTTGAGTACATGCGGAAGAGAGAAATGGATGTTAGTATTGTTACGTATACAATTGTTATCCAAGGGATGTGCAAGGTTGGTAAGGTGGAAGATGCTTTTGATTTGTTTTGTAGTCTTTTCACCAAGGGAATGAAGCCTAATGTTGTAACGTACACTACAATGATAACGGGATTTTGTAGGCGAGGCCTGATTCATGAAGCTGATGCGTTGTTTAGGAAAATGAAAGAAGATGGGTTCTTACCAAATGAGCGTGTGTCTTAAGTAGGTGAACAATCATGTGGAGTTGGAGATACTTTGATCTCAAAGCATATGATGGTGGAGTTGCAATTTGGGGATGATGTAATGAGGACACACAGGTTAGAAAGGTTACATATTGCTACAGGATGATGTAATGTTTGATTGATAAACTAATATTTAACCTATGGTATTGTTGTGGAATGTAACTTTTCAGGTGCAATATAAGTTTTGATATACCTCGTCAGCTAACATCAGTTCAGTAATGATTCATGTCCAAGGAGATGTTTTCTTGACAGGTATTTTTTTCGTTGAAGACTTGTTTCTATCTTCAAGATTCTGCAATGATTTGGAGTATTTGAAGTGGAATAGTATTCTCTAGAAATCTAATCAAATGTATAGATAGATAGTGGAGAAGGTATGTATGTGTGTTTATAGGACATGTAAAGATTGATCAATGAGCTTTGTGTCTTATGTATCTCTACTGATGTAAAGGGATTTGGATTTTGTGAAGATGTCCTTTTGTACTTTAATTTATGTAAATCCTTTTGGATACAATCAACCGAAATTTAAACCAAACAAAACTGCTTTGATCCTAATTTCTCTTTTTTTTTCTTCTACAATACTGTTAATTGTGATATTACAAACTATATAAACAATTAAGTAGATGATATTGCATCAAACAATTCTAAAAAAAAGTCACATTTAATTGCATCATTATGACCAGTCCTCTTTGTACAATTGTTTTACAATACTATGCATAATTCATATTTTTTAGACTCACAACATAATTGTAAAATCATTAATAAACTTGTAGTCAAACCATTAGCTTAAATAGATCTCCACATCAGTCTCATTACAATGTAGCCTTAAAAATGATAAGAAATCTATAATATAGTCATAAAAAGAATTATATATTTATTTATATTTAATAACAAGATATAATATTGGGTGAAGGTAATAATACAATTATTTGGTCAAGCAGAAGGTGATTTTTAATTGGGTGAGAATAATTCTGTAGTATTTCCCCTTAAATTTGAGTATATCTCTAAATTAAATATTGAGGGAACAAAAGGAAAAATGGTCAAAGAGAAACTCTCTAGCCAAATCAAAAATAGGAACACTATTTATGTGTCAATTTTGACTGTCATTTTTTTCTCATGACTCATTCACCTGCTCTCTGAATCTCTCATTTCATCGTCAGAATAATGTACTTCAACGAGCATAATGACCCGTCGGTGACATTCTCCTTGCAATCATCATCATCTTCTTCCTCATGTATTTGGCCTTTGACCTTCTCAAGGATCACTGCTGTGTCTCCCGCTCTAGGAGTCATCACATCCGCAGCCGTAACCACCGCCCTGCATTGGTTTTCTTCGTCCCCACCAATCCTTCTCATACCACCTCGCGCGGTTTACATCCCGTCGTGAAAATCGAAAATTTTGCATTGAAAATCGAAAACATCACATATTTTGAAACAAAAATTCTACTCTAGAGCGACAAATAATTTAAAACCGAGGGAGTATATAATAAGAAGTAACAAATACATGTGATAGTTTTAAACAATTGATTATTTACAACATGTAAACTATGAGATATGATTACTTTCCTTTTATTGTAAATATAAATTTTCATTTTCATTTTTATGAATATTTCATTTTTATTATATATTTTATTTCGAAATATAGGAAAGGAAACTAAAATTAAAAAAATTAATTGGCATAAATTATTAAATATTTTCATAATGACAATTATTAATAGATGTTTAATTCATTAAAAATACCTATATAATTGACCATCATAAAAATTAACGTGAGCATGACACATAAGAAATTAAATTCTCAAATAATATTATAAAAACTGTTTATTAGAGAAATTAAGTTAAAAATGTTTCCTCTATTTTAAATACATGTTTTGGTATGTGAAAAATACTTTTGCTTTTTTGCCAGCAGTAAGAAAATATTTCCTGTTATTTTATATGTTTGCTTAATCTATTCCAAAAATATATATACCTCATTTGTATTGCGTCAAAAGAAAAGCAATAAACGTTCCTCAACCTAAACATGTCTTTAGATACAATTTATATTATTCCCACAAAAGGCAGATATTTTAAAACCTCATGGTGAGTTAAAGTTAAATATGTTTATATTAACCACATGTTAGTAATCCATTGGTTAAACTCAATCTGAGAAATCATGGGTTCGAGTTACGCTGCGAAGTGATTATTTTGAGGAACCTTCTGGTCCAATACGGAGAAACCTGCTAACGTGTGGTCACTGGTGGGTTGATTACCAGCCCTTTTGGATGCATCGGCAGGCTCCTCGGCTAAGTTCCAGTGGACAGTCATTTGTGATAGTCAGATCCTTTTGAGACTTCGTATACCAGGATTATCAGAAAAATGCTTACATTAATGGAAAGAAAACGAGAATTCGGCCAAGAAAACCTCGACTTTGCACGAATCAATCCTCGAGGAGATCGGCACCGAGAGACGCAGAGAGATTCATCGTCCAGGAGAGAGAGACGAGTCGTTGATCAACGACGACGAGGCCGAGAGGAGAACGACGGAGAGGCAAGGTTGGATCATCATCGATTTCGTCGAGGAGCGGTGCAGGATAGAGAGAGAGGCGAGGAGAGATCAACCTCGATTGATTACGATGAGGCCGAGAGAAGATCGAGAGAGACGAGGACATCATGGTGGATTGATAACGGAGCCGTCGCGGAGGCGTGGAGGCAGGATCGTCGAGAGAGAAACAGATTAGACAGAGTATTCGAAGTGAGGACGAAACAAAAACTTTAGAGAGAGAGAGAGAGAGAGAGAGAGAGAGAGAGAGAGAGAGAGAGAGAGAGCTCGCATGGACAACAATCAACACGTGTCCCATAAGCACCCTCACATTTGCTGCTTAAAGAAGCACCGTATTCTTCTTAATTAATGAGTTTTACAATTTTTTTGAAAAATATTATGTTTTTATTGATGTAGCTAGATTTTAGTTAAATAACAAAAGGAAAGTAACCAAGATTATCGAGAGAATACACGTAAAGCAAAGTGTAAACACTTAAAGAAAACGACAAACAATCAAAAGAGAATCAATATACAAATGTCCGTGCTTGGAACTCAAGTGTGAGAGTTTGTGATGTTTCCGCAGACTGTGCAGTGGGCTGAGATGAGTTTGTGCAAAACGCTACCTTCTTCAATCTTAATCTTTCTCGTGATTTTATTCCACAGATGCACCATATAACTCTCTTTGCTCATGCCTTGTACCGTCTTCTCTACCCATTCTGCTTCTCCTCTGGTTCTTGGTTTCTTTAAAAGCCTTCGGATGTCAACCCAGTTCACTGGATAGAAAGCATCTGGCGGGTGGATGGTAAGGTTGTACTCAGGTTTGTGTCCTAATCTCTTGATAACTCTAGTGACCATGTAAGGACTGTTGTATCCCCATCTGTTCCCATCGAAAGTTGTGGCGTACTCGTGCAAAAACTCTCTCATGATTGGATGGTAAGGGTCAAAGACCATCACTGCGTTGTTTAGTGTTGTCCATTTCTTGGTTTCTGGATCCAAACTTTGTACCCCTATTGCGTTTCTCAGACCCGTCATGTCGTTGAGGGAGATGATGTCTGTGTCTAGATACACTCCTCCGTACTTGTAGAGCACCGCGAGTCTTGTCAGATCAGAGAGGTTCATGAACAAAGGGATGGAACCTGGATCCATGTCACCGCTCTTTAGATTTATCAGCCAAGCTTCCGCGGGAGTGTTCTTGACGAGGAACGGGATGTCTAATGTTACAGCAACGATGTTGAAACCTAGATCAAGAAATGGGTTAAGGAGGGTGTATCCTTTGGGTGAGTCTAAGGAGTTGGAGAGAATCACCAGGCAAGCACCAGGGTTGGTTGTGAAGAGTGTGTCAACAGCTAACATCTCTCTCGGTCCAAAGAACTTTGCCGGAGAAAGCCAGATCATAAAGAAGTGAGCTGAGCAGTTCTTGTTGAAAAGCTCCGAAATTCTTGCATGGAATCTCTTGCTCTTGCTTGTGGAGTTCAAGATCTCAAGCTCAGGTAGCTTGCTTCTGAACCAGTTGATTCTCTCGCTCTTGCTAGCTTTAAGAGGAGGTACCAACGGGTCTAGCTCCTTCTTTTCTTTTCCATCCATGCGCACGACCGAGAAACTGCTGCTTTTATTACTCATGAGTAGGTTTTGTTTGAACGGTGGCTTATTGTCAGAGACGGTAGCTGTTGGAGGTTTCATATAGAGTAGTGGATGCAAAACTAAAGCATAAACTGCAAAGATGGCGAGTATCAGTAACTTCCTTGCTCGCATCTTGAAAACAAACTCTTGTTCCGTGTCCTTTGATTTTTCAGACAGAACTAGAGTTTCTTATTATTGACTCTCTCTCTCTCTCTGATCAGACTGAAAGAATAGATCAGAAGAAGATTAAATACGGCATGGGTTCATTACATTACTAAATCGTTACCTTATTATATGCTCACGTTTCACATGTAATTTGGACGAAATGATTCTCCATATCCATATGTGTTATATAGTAATATGCTCGTTTTGAGACAAATGTTTTTTCTATTTGAAGATACACAAAGTCTTGCTAACATGGATAGATGGAAGCTGCGTATATTTAAGAAATGTTGAGGTAGACAGTTTTGTGATTAGGTATATTAATTTTCTTCATGATTTTGTAACCACCTGGTTCCCTTAAACCATTTTTGGTTACTATTTTTATTAAACTAAAACATCCAAATAAGTTATGTATTTAAAAATATCATTAAATAATTTATAAAAAAAAAATTAAAAATCAAAATTCGCTTGGACGTGGACGTCCTCTAAAATATACTACTCCTTCAGTTTCTAAAAGATAGACTTTCTAGTGTTTTCACACATATTAAGAAAACACATTAAATCACTATCGTTTTCAGTAATTTTCAATTTTTAACAACTTTTAGCCAATAGTAATTTAATAAAACTAATTAATTTTTTTGAAAATTGTAATTTTCTCATAGAAAAAATAGAATATACATCTTTTTGAAACAAAATATTTTTCCATAACATGCATCTCTGGGGAACGGAGTGAGTATATCTTATTGTGCTCTTCCTTTATGGTTACATTATCTAATAATGGTTACATTATATCTAATAATGGTTGGTTCTGTCTTCTGACCATTTTTGTAAAAATACCGGTGCATTGCTAGACTTGAGTCTTGCTTGTCTTCAACATCAAACCTCTATGTGTGTTCATCATAACCGCTTGTCTAGGGCTAGAGAAACTATAGCACTTTTAAACTTCATTTGCTCACACCTCACTGCACTGAAAATCTCTAAACGGGGGTGGGTTGGATTAAACATTCGTTGATACCGAAACTCTCTACTCATCTCTTCTGCTACTACTGATTCTGTTATCTTGTCAGGGTTTCTTGATTCAAAGTTTCCTCCTTTGGTTCTATTATCTACATGTTTATGTTTTGTCTGTGTGTGTGTGTTTTCAAACTGAAAATAAAACTTGGACGCCTGGCCTCACTTCCACAATTAGACGAGAGGGTTTAGGTTTATCCTCTCCTTCCACAATCAGAGCAGGAAATGAGTTTCTGAGTCATAGATAGCTTGTGAATGCGTAGTTCGATCTCGTCTGTTGTGTGTGCTGCGTCAATAACGAAAACGTTCCTTCTTTCTGAAATCTGAACCTCAAGGAAGCTCTGGATCTCTTCACCCGCATGTCTCACTCCCGCCCCCTCCCTTAATTCCTTGGGCGATTTCACCAGACTCCTCGCCGCAATCGCCGCAATGAAGGATATTGTTACTTACAACTCTTTGGTAACGAGTCTTAGAGATACTTTGATGCGCAGTTGCAGTTTGGGAGAGTACACAGAGGTTAGAAACTTATATATTGCTTCAGGATGATGTAATTTTTGTTGGATAAACTAATATTTAACCTATGGTATTGTTGTGGATTGTAACTTTTCAGGTGCAATATAAAGTTTGGTGCCATACCTCGTCAGCTACATCAGTTGTGTAAATGATTCATGTCCAAGGCTGATGTAGCTATCTTCAAGATTCTGCAATGATTTGGAGTATTCAAGTGGAATAGTATTCTCTAGAAATATAATCAAATGTATAGATAGATAGTGGAGAAGGTATGTGTGTGTATAGGACATGTAAAGATTGGTCATAAGCTATGTGTCTTATGAATCTCTATTGATGTAAAGGGATTTTTGGAGAAATCCTTTTGGACTTTACTTAATGTAAACCTACATCAAGAGGGGATACAATAAACCAAATTTTCCGATTTAAACCAAATTAAACCAGTTTTGATCCTAATTTCCGTTTTTACTTTAACCCTGGTAAATTGTGATACAAAATATGAGAACAGTTACGTAGATGACATTAATAGATGATACTGCATCAATAGTTTTATCTGTTTTACGGAAATTCACATGTTTATTATGACCTATCTTCGTGTAAGTTTTTTTCTCTAATGTTATGCAATATATATATTTTTGGACTCAACCCCATCCTCGTAGTATAAAATCATTAATAAACTATTAAACAAATCATTCGATTGGATAGATTTTCACTTCCCAATTTTGTTATAATGTGGCTTTTAAAATGTTAAGATATCCATAGTTTAGTCATAAAATATAAATATAATATATATATACATATGTATATATTATGCATAAGAGGTATTTTTTTGCTGAAGATAAGAATACAATTATTTGGTCAAACAGAAAGTGATTTTTATTGGAATTTTGGCAAATGAGAGTTTTTTGTAGTATTTTCCCATGAATTTGAGTATATCTCTAAATTAAATATTGAGGGAAAAAAAGGAAAAAGAAAGAGCAAATGCATGGTCAAAGAGATTTTTTTTTGAATTATACAAAAGTACATGACCCCCACCAAAATAGATTCAGACTATGACGTGTTAGTAGTTTATGTTTTCCGGTTCACGTGTCAGTTCCATGTCCCTGGCACCAAATTTTAAAAAGAAAATTTATACATCATCTTTCTCAAGAGTATGAACCTCTCATGATAGTACTCCAAAAACCACATTTCCCTAATTCACTCTCTTTTTCCCTGAATCTCTCAATCGTCGTCAGAATCATGTACGACAACCCTTTTCTGAACTTACTCCGTTTAATATTCATCTGCTTAATCTTGTATATCATCCTCCGCCCTCTCTACGATTGTTGTTGTCTCTCCCGCTCTAGGAGTCATCACATCCGCAGCCGTAACAACCGCTCTACAATGGTTTTCGTCTCCGCCAATCCTGCTCATACAGCCTCACGCGGTCTAGATCCCGCCGTCGCGAAGTCTCGTCCCGTTTTCATTTTCTCCGCCTCGACGCATAGGGATCCGATCGATTGCGTTGTTTGTCTCTCACAGTTCGAAGAGGGAGAATTGGGTCGGGTTTTGCCTGGTTGTAAACACGCTTTCCATGTTGAGTGTATTGATATGTGGTTTCATTCTCATTCAACTTGTCCTCTATGCCGCTCTTTTGTTAGCCTCCCGCAACGACGGTAGAGGAGCAAGTAGCGATCATCACGATCCCTCCTGAATCGGGATCTTCTATGATGCCGTTGGAAGAAGCGCCGGTGAGTCAGATGCCATCTTTTACTCGGATGTTGAGCAGAGATGGAAGAAGTGCCCCATCTTCATTTGTTGGAGCTCCGTCTCAATCGCTGTCGTCAAGCTGCGGGATAGTGATGACCGAATCAGAATATGAGCGGAGAGGAGAAGAGATTAAATGATTTCGGCCACGTGGATGTTCCGTTCCATAGTGGTTTTGATTATTGATATTAACAGCAAGTATAAACATGATTTAGAGTATTTTTATTGCTAAGAAATTTAATTAAATATATCTACAATTCAATATTAAACGTTCGGGTATCATACTAAGTTTCAAAGAAAGTCATTCATACAATAACTAAGCATAATGTTTTGGGCATCCATTTCTGAGTTCATGTTATTTAACTTTTTGAGTTTGGATTTTTTATGCAGTTTTCGGGTTTAGTTAATAATATTTTTTTTTCAGGTAGATTTTATATTTTTCTTCTAATAGTTATTTGGAACAAGTGTTAGTAACTTCTTGGTGCTCATTGTGTATCCATGTTGATTCCAAGTTTGATTCCCATTCGAAACTAAATTATTTATACTGGTCTGGTGTAAATTTGGGTTTCAGATTAAGTGGTTAACTAGATTTTGACCCGCGCTTGAAAGCGCGGAAATCTTTGATGATTAAAAATTTATATAATTGGGTTTTGTCTTAATTTAAAGAATATTTTGATATAATATCAGTTCACCAAAATTTGTGTTGATGATTGTTTTTCATTAGTTTTTAGTTTCATTTTTTATTTTTAGATTTTGGTTTTTGGTTTTCAGTTTTTAAGTTTCTACTTTTCGTTTTTGGTTTGGGTTTTTAATTTTTAATCCCGCTGAGTTAGTTTGAACTAATATTACTAACAAACAAATCTCAAATAATCGAACATCTAATTTAAAACTGAAAAGATGATAACAAATTTTTTAAAAAAAATTTGAAATAGTTTATTTTGTAAATAAACAAAGCAAAAAAATATAACATGTGTTTTCAGCTTTTGGTTTTGGATTTTAGTTTTTAGATTTGATTTTTGGTTTTGCTTTACATTTTTTAATCAGTAAATTATTTAAGAAAAATAAAACAGTAGTCCACTTTTTTAACATGAAAACTGACCGGATAAGCCAATATAGTATATAAACTTATTTGTTTTTTTTTTTTTTTTTTTTTAAATTTTCTTTAATCTCCCAATTGGGCATTATACAACTACAAACAGCTAAAAATTGAGCAAAATTCGGTACAACCAAAGTTATAGCAGTTTTGACTCATCGGCCACACAGCCAAGTTGTGGGCGCAACTCCGGAGCCTTCCATCATCACTACCGAACCAGGTTAATCCGGGCAGGAGCTGACGCTACCAACTCTCCTTCTAGCTGACGCAATTGTAGACTCTTATGCTCACCAAAAAAACAAATAAACCATACCTATGAAAGACGGATTTGGGGAGACAGCCTGCTCGTTGTCAAGAAGGTTCAATACCTGCACAAAAAAGGAACCAAGCAACACCACTACCATTTATCAAGGACAAACACCAGTGCTGGGAAATGCTACCCGAACATAAGGAGCCATCGACGGAGACACTAGAGGTGGAGACAACCCGACCAACCAGAAACCGTCGCCAAATGCCCACCTTCGAGAACCAAAGGAAGGGTCCATCATGTGACTGTTACTAGCTACTCCTATGGCAAAAGGAGGAGCCTTTGAAGATGATGAACAAGAACCAAGACCTCCAAACCAAAACCGTCGCTTTGGAATAGAGACAAGACAAACGAGACTCGGGTAGAAAGCAGAGGAAAGTAGAAGATCGAGGAAGCAACATCACGCCATAGCCATAGACGACTAAACAGATTCGAAGCTTCACGAACCTCCACGCGTGGAGATCAGAATACAATCACCACCACACAGTAGAGACCGGAACCTGCACGCGCCTCCGAGTAAAGGAATCTCCAGAGTTACCTTTAACGGAGATAAAGAGAGCACTCGTTCCGAGACGCCTCGAGACAAGAAGCTACAACAACACCCACCGCTACACGCTCAGATCGGAAACCAAAACACCTCAACACTCACTGACGAGAGATGAGGAGCACACATCCACGAACAACCCGGAACTGAGACTGAGCTCTGCCTCGCCGCCGTCTGCTGCTACCGAAGACCAGATCTGACGAAAGAGAAAATAGATCTGGAAATCAAACCCTAAAAGCCGACCCCATACCTACACTGCCGCCGAGACAACCTCGTCTCAACTCCAGATAGAAAGCTCGCCGTCGAAGCTAGTGACCTCTGCAGCGGTATAGACTACAGACGGCTAGACGAACCACCAGAGACTCGACATATCAGAGGTCCAGAGACAGAGAGGATGAAGCTGAAAAGGAAAGCTGAAGGAGAAGAGACGCCTCCGACGGCGGATCGAGATTCCCGGCCGCCGGAGCTTTAACCTAACGTCGTTGCTTGAGTCGCTTAGGGGAGAGAGTTTTTATCGTCTTTTTTTTTTTTTTTTTTTTTTTTTTTTTTTTTTTTTTTTTTTTTTTTTTTTTTTTTTTTTTTTTTTTTTTTTTCTTCCTTTTCTTATATATAAACTTATTTGGAACCGAACTCGTTTTAGATTTTGGTTAATAACATATGGAGTGTATGTAGTTTGCGGTCAGGTATTTTGGATATTTAATTAAGTCTGATCTAAAAAATATACACGTAGAAAAATGATCAAAAGATTTCATTAAAAATGTAAATGATTCTTATATCCTTATTTATTGATATACATATAAAAATATAAAATTAGTTTTTTTCGTTTTCGGAAAAGATGTTTTTCAGTTCAACTTTTTTTATTTTTTCTTTTTGAAATTTGTTTTTAAGAAAATCCTTAACTATACCCCTATACCCTTTTCCTTCAATCTAAATTCTAAATTCTTATTATAAATCATAAATTAGTTAATTAGACGGGTTATTTTACCTTTTAAAAAAAATATTTTAATCATGTGTGTGTAAGTGTGTGCTATATTTATAATAAAAAGAAATTTGTACTATCTTAAAGAATTTCTCTTTAAATTCGAAACTCATTTCTAAAACTAATTCAGATCAGGTAGATAAATTTACGACAGGTGGACGAATAAGTTGAAATTGGTACAATTTTGGTGTTACATGAACTTTTAACATTCGAATTCCTTCAGAAAAAAAAAACAAGACTCCAAAAGCAACCTCTATGTTAACAGATCCTCAAAAGTGGAATTTTCAGTGTTATTATTACAACATACTACTACTACTTCAGACAATGACTTCATAATAAATTAGATAGCAGACAGACAGTTACAAGAGTTTCGTAACTGTCCGATTGAAATCACACACACCTAACTACATTCTAATCAGTTCACTCACACTATCACTAGCCTTTCCTCAGCTTCCCACAGTGTTTTTAACTGAAGAAACCTCACTTACCTCTCCTACTACAACTACCTCATCAGATCGACCTTTTCCTCTCTTCTTCCCGTTCGGTGTGCATCTCACCCCCACACTGTTGATCTTCAACGCAACTTTCCGTGTCTGGCTTGACACAGAAGACGTTCTGTTTGCCTTCTTAGGTGGTGGTGACTCGTGAGCTTTCTCTTTGGCTATTGGGGACTTAGCTCGTTTCCGAGGTAAATCCATTCTTCTTTTCTCACTCTTTCTGTTACCATCACTGAGTAACCGTACGCTGAAAGGATTAGCCGCTGTGTAACACACCGGTTCGCCTACAGAGTTGCCAGGTTTTTCGAGATCAACCTCTCCATTGTTCACCTGAAATAAAACATTAAATATCAAATGATTGTTTCTTGTTTTTTTTTTTGTGAACATACATGTCTCTAACTTACCAACTGGAGAAGTGCAGAAAAAGCTCTGGCTACATCGTGCTTCTCTTGGTCTTTCATTAGATCGGTAAAGGCCTCCACGTGTCCACTCTCTTCATCAGTCAGCTTATTGAGAATCCTTTCACCGTATTCTCGAATGTCAAAAGGAGGGTGTAGCTCCTGATCATTAGAATACAATGGTAGAAAGAAAAAGCATCAGAATATATCTGACTTCAACACAGAAACTATAGGAGAAAGAGATTTTACTTGTTCTTCTAGGTTTTGCTCTATTTTCTGCTTCCATGATGAAACCCTAGCAGCCAGATCTGTTTGTTTCTCATTTTTAGCTATGTTTGCAAGAAGAGCATCCTACAAAAATACACAAGAACATTTTCAGCTTTTTTCTCAGCATAGTACAGGTTGACATTAGGATGATTACAATGAAAACCAATGTAAGTTGTTACCAGGTGTGAGCGGCAAAGATCTTCCAAGCTTTCTTGACAATGTGAGTCTTCGTTTCCAAATCCATCATAGTTGGGGAAATCTGCAGCTCCACCATCATTCTGCATGAACTCAAATCAGTGGATAAGGGTTGCATATAATGTTACTGGAAACGTCATACTCACCATAACGGGAGCATCTTCATCCATGAAAGCAGGTTCATGATCATCACCAAAATCATGGAAGTCGCCATCATGGTTATCTTTAACGCCTTCCTTGTCATTGCCGTTAGCATCAGTAGGTAGGTTTCCTCCATTAACAAGCATTGCTCGAAGCTGAAACCAAAACTCTCAGTTTCTTTTCTTCATTAACTGTCAGGTAAAGGTATAGAGAAAACACAGACCTTCTCGGTATAAGGAATGTCTTGTGGTTCTCTGTTATCTTCCCTAGCAGAACGGAGCTTCTCCCAAACTCCGGTGAGCTCTGTACTGATGGGACCATTGGGTTTAGCAAGAGGAAACATGGAAGTGATATTGTCCTTGGTAAGGCTCCCTCCAAACTTTCTCAAAGTTTTCACTGCTCAAGAGATATAAAGTATAACATGAGTTAGAAGTAAATGTAACATCAATAAGAAAAAAATCATAGCCATGTGCCAACCTTTTTTGAAAGGTTTTACTTTCAACTTCCCTGCCTCATAGGGATTCAATGGCTTCCACGGATCATCTTCATCATCATCTGTATCATTCAAATCCATGGTTCCTCCATGGTCATTATCCATGTCAAAACCATGATCATTGTCTCCAAAGTCAGGAGGAGGAGAAGGATGAGACCGTTGGTCACAGTTCTGAGCATCTGGACCCTTACTGCCCTGATTGTTTCCCAATGATGATCTACGGGCACTTCCTCCAGAACGTCCTGAGTGAAAACTTTTACGACCTGAGCTGCCTCTGTGAGAACTGGTCTTTCCTTTACCGGTATAGCTACCACCTAAAAATTCATTCACCGCTACAGCATCACATGGGTCTAATAGAATAAAGTCTCGGTAGAGATGCGTAGTTGCTAACTGCAAGACAGGAAAGTTAAAAACGGAGTTGAAACTCTTTCTATTTTCCAATAATATTGAGGGATGGAAGAAGATGCTATATATACCAGATATGATTCAAGTTCTCCTCCGTCACCACTAGTATCCAAGCAGTCACCTTCAAGAACAACTAGATTTGCTGGAGGCTTGACAAACTGACTTGGACAGGAATCTCCACTAACCGAGTTGTCCAAGCTATTCTTTGCGTCAACTACATTGTTAACACTATCTAGGGTTAAAAATCTGCTCTCTTGAGATGTTAAAAATATCAGAACTTGACCTACCTGGGATGTCATCCACATTCCAGAAGAGATCAGTTTCTTCTTCATCAACCTGACGAGAGGAGCTTGCCTCAGCCTCATTTGAAGTACCTTTGGACTCTTCTTGCTCTCTATTTAAAAAAAAAGCAACACTCGTGTAACTCTTAAATGTATAACCTTTTATGTGAAAATACTATATACGTAGCGTTTGTTTGATTTAGATACAAAGCTCAAAGAAATGCAACTGAAATCCAGAGAGTGATACGATGACCAGAATGTCCAGAACTGACTATTAGCTACTCTGATAATAATAGTTAAATAAGAAATCGTTAAAATCACAGCTTAAACAAAGCAACTAAAGAGAAAAAATTAATATTTAGAAGCAGTCATTTATAAAAAAAAAAAAAGTTCACTTAATCAGTCAACACAAAACACAGAGAAAGATAAACTCTCAGTTAAACTATGAGATCTAACAAAAGCACTAGTCTTTAGTCACTGTTACATTATTAAACTTAAGAAGAGAGAGAGAAAGGAGGAACCTTTGGTTAGATAGAAACTCCAATGTACGTAAGACCAAGTTGTACAAGTACTCCACTTTCTTGCTGTAAACTTGAACCGAACCCTGAAGCAGCAAAGCAGCTATAACAACAAAAACTCATCAAAATCAAATCTTTAACCGACCCATAAATCAAATTTGTACAAAAAGGAAGCACCTTCGGCGAAATTGACAGGCGAATCTTCTTCAGTTCCGGTGATTTCACCGGAGCAGATTTTGAGGAGGTACTCCTCTAGCTTCTCCGACAAATCGACTTCCCAATTCGCAACCAAATCTCTCTCCGGCTGTACTGTGTGAATCCTCTCGCCGCCGCCGTGGCTCGTCATTTTCTGTGGAGCCAAGAGTTCATAAACCCTAGAAACAGTGAATTGGGGGAAGTTTGAGGGATTTTTTAAAAGAGAAAACTTCTACATGAATGAGAGGCTTTTCTGATGGAATTTGATGGGAGGCGAAGGGACGTTAAGGATTCAAACGACAAGAGTGAGTTCAAAGTGGAGATAGAAAGGAACTGTGTGAGACTGAAGAGATTGAGAGAAGAGAGAGAGAGTTTGGGATAACGAAATATTTTGACTTTTTCTAGATTTTCCCGCTTTTCATAAAAAGTTGAAAATTTTGTTGGGCCTTATTCGTTTGGGCTAAACCCACTTAGGATATGATATCTCATTCTTGGCCTCATATTTATTAATACCTTTTCAAGTTTTTTTCTGTTCTTAACAGTCATGTTACAAAAACATGTTCGAGTAATACTTTTATGACTGTCTTGGTGTAAAACTCTGTTCAACTCAAATCGGTCATTTAACTTGTATTCAACTTCCACTTTCTTTTGTTCATCAACTAATCAAGCCTAAAAAAAAAACTAATCAAGCCTACAAATTATCTATACAAACAACAGTTGACCAGTTTCAACAGAGGATAAACCAAACTAACATGAATGATTATACCCCTCATTATAGGATAAGCCTTATTTCAGCATCTTCTTAATGAGGCTTCTCTTGTGTGTTTGTTTGTTACATGTACGTTCTTTATTTTGCTTTTCTATTGGGGCATAGACATTTCTGGAAGTTTGTCACAGGTGATCCCTGTTTTGTATACCAAAGCCTACGCGTTGTTGTTGATCATGGAGAAGACGAGGTAAACAACATCAATGAGTACAATTAATTGTACAAAGGAAAGCACAAATCAAACTATAGTGGAAATAAACTATGGTGGTAAATTGAATAGAAACTCAAACAATAGGGTCTTTTTTGTAAAGTTTTATTTTTATTTTCCCCTTCGTTAGCTCTCTCTCTAGAACAACAATTGCTAAAAAGAGATCCATCTCTACATCGCCCCCTGGTAAAATTCGAATCATCTCCCACGGAATCTTCTGTTTTGGTAAAAATCCGAAAGTTTCGATCATGAATTCGAACTACGGGAAGGGATCATCAATCAACACGTTCGATTTCGATCTCGGCCTCGGATCTACTAACAAAGGCAAGCCTCTGAACGGTCAGAAGAGCCAAACACCTTCTTATACGCAGCCGAGACCTGCGTTTCAGCCTGGCAAGCCTTCGTGGACGCATCAGCCCGCGCCGAAGCAGACGACGATCAGATCTGAGATCGGAGGTCCGACTTCTATGGTTGGAGATATTCACGGCAAGACGTGGAGTAGCTCCGGATCCGGATCCGGATCGGGTTCTGGTATTGGTATTGTTAACAAGGATCCGAGTTTGTTCGGAGATCTTGTTGGATCGGTTATTGGGAAATCCAGCTCAAACGTGCCGTTGAAGCAAGCTCCTCCTGCTTCCGCTTCCAACAAGAAGGGATCTTATTCCATGGGGAATCTTGCTGATGCGTTGCCTAAAACTAGTGGTGGTGGTGGTGGTGGTGGTTGGGGTTATAATAGTAATTCTGGTGTTAATGCTAGTAACAGTATCAAGACTCCAAATCTTGGAGGTCCTTCTATGAAAAGTATGTCTGGGAGCAATCTAAATGTTCCATCTAATAGTGATCCGTTTGGAAACTTGGTTGGTTTCGGATCGAAATCATCGGGAAGTATCAATTCGGAGAAGGCTAAGAACAATGCAAAGAGTGATGATGCTTTTGGGACATTCCAATCTGGTGGTGGTTTTGCAGGTACAACAACCACTAAGAACGATGAATTTGGCGGTTTCCAGAACGCGTCCGCGGCGAAGTCAGACTCATTCTCATCAGGCGGGTTTACGAGTGGCTTTGATGCAGCTTCGAACGTTGGTTTTGGTGTGGGTTCAAGTGTTAAAGATGATGATCCATTAGGAGTGTTTTCTAGTTCCACGGCTGCTGCTGCGGCTACGCCGCAGAGTGAAGATTGGGGGTTTGAGAGTTTCGACGGTGGGGCTGATTCTGGCGGCGGTTCAACTACTGAGCTTGATGGGTTGCCGCCACCTCCACCGGGTGTGTCAGCTGCTTCGGCTAAGAGTAAGGGGATTGATAATCAGAGACAAGGTCAGTATGCTGATGCCATTAAGTGGCTTTCTTGGGCTGTGATTCTTTTGGAGAGAGCTGGTGATGACGCGGGGTCTGCGGAAGTGCTTTCGACTAGGGCTTCGTGTTACAAAGAAGTCGGAGAGTATAAGAAAGCTGTATCAGATTGCACAAAGGTATGTGTTTATTGGTTGATTATTGCACATAGAAATAAGACTCGTTTGGCTTTGGATGCATGATAGCTATGGGTTGTATGTGTATTCGCTCTAGCAATGGCCTATGGGGTTGTTATGTATCCCCTTTAGCTATAGCCTATGGGGTTAGGGACTCTTGAGTCTTGACTGAATCAATACTGTTTAGAGTTTTGAGGTATCTGAAACTTGGCAATATGATATTTTACGGTTCTTGTGGAAACTAAGATAGATATGTGAATATAGAAGTTTTAGAGTCATCTTGTAGAAGAAAGATGCCATTGCTGAACAGCTCTCTGATCCTAGATCGTTACATTGTGGTGGTTTATTTGATTGTTCTAATGCTTTGCTCTGTAGACAGTTTCTTTGAAACTGAGAACAAAGACCAGATATGAACTATGAAACATACGTATGTTGTGTTTGTTTGTTTCAAAATGTGATTGCAGGTACTTGACCACGACGAGAAAAACGTGACTATTCTGGTACAACGAGCACTTTTATACGAGAGCATGGAGAAATACAAACTGGGAGCTGACGACCTTAGGATGGTTCTCAAGATCGATCCCGGTAATAGAATTGCTAGAAGCACCGTTCACCGCCTAACCAAAATGGCTGGGTGATTGATCAACCTTCATATACAAATATTTTCTTAATTGTCTCGAAAGATAAAACAAAAGACCCTTCAAATCTTCTTCTACTATCTCCCTCTCTCTATACCGTTTCGTCTCTCATCAATGGACCTTGCGTATGTGTGTAGTCTTTCTGAGTTTTTCTATGGGTTATTAATATTCTGTAATGGGTTATGATTTATGAATGTATTGTCATCAATTGATTCTCTTATACATTACTTTTTTGTTCAAAGATTCTCTTTTACATAACATTTTTGAATTTATCACGAAATAATTGACCAGGAATGTTGTTTTATAATATAACTCTGCTGGCTGTTATTTTCTTACAGTTGAGACTTTCGGATAACATTAGTGGGAATTTTGTTACACGGTCGATTCGATAGCATCGTGAATAAAATGCAAGATACATCAAGTCACGTCTTAACAAAAAAAAACCTTACTTTCGAGAAACGTGGCATGATGAACGTGAAGCGTCCAAGGCATATAACACAGATTAACCACCGAATATCATTCCTAAAGTTATAATTATGTTAGCATTATATTCATTTTTATATTTCCAGATAGAGATTAGGTAATCAGAAACAGATAGAATTCCCCAGTCACGTGTAATAACCATTGATTACCAATTTACCCGACGCTCGTGGACACAACACTCTAGCATCCATTAATAAATATACTAGATTAGTTACACTGTCATACGTTTTTTCATCAGACCGCCAATAGAAGCTTATAGTTTTGTCGTTATTTGAATTGATTTTGTCGTAACCGGCGTGTATTGAGGAACAAATAACTATAGCGTATAATTTTAATATAAGTATAAATACACATATACGTAACTTTATACTGTACAAGCTTTTTTTTTTATCAACATATAATATAACTCAAGCATTTATTTCTCCTATAAATGCGTTTCTATCTCCACCGCATTCATCTCCCCCTCTTGAAACCCAAGCATCAGAAAAGAAAAGAAAGCAAACAGAGAAAATGTGTGGCGGTGCTATAATTTCCGATTTTGCCCCAAACGTCACCAAGGCCAAGGGTAGGAAACTCACGGCGGAGGAACTCTGGTCAGAGCTCGATGCTTCATCCGCCGATGATTTCTGGGGTTTTCATTCCACCTCCAAGACTCAGTCCACCAACCAACAAGGTACGTTTTAGTTATTCATATACATAAAATCATAACAATATATGAAACTTGTTTTACAAAAAAAAAAAAAAAACAATATATGAAACTTTGAGAAAACTAACCATTATTTAGAATATAGTTTATAAATTACAAAAAAAGGAAAAAAAAACATTTCTAGACACTGCATGACTATGATGTGATTAAAAGATTTTTTGAAAATATTGTCTGGGTTATAGTTTTTAGTAAATTAAAAAAAAAATCCACATACTATTTCTAGAAGTTACATGAATATGATGATAAAAGATTCTTTAATTAATACTATTTGGGGGTTGGTGGTGAATATTTATTTGTAATTTTTCACTACATCTGGGGTTAAATCTGTAAATTTACATCTTTAACTTTAGGAGTGACGTTGAAAGAAGAGGCGGCGGAGAACAAGGAGCCGGTG